ATGAGAGGATGTGAGGATTGTTTGAGGGTCTCCTAGTTGTATATCTGACTTGCCGATGGAAAAGTAACCGGACTGATGCTCCCCAGAATGGATATGGAGCCAGGGGTCAAAAGGACCTGTTTTCACAACAACAACAACAACAACCAAAAAAAAAAAAAAAAAAAAAAAAAAAGGTCAAACCCGCCGTAGGTGAAGGAGACCTGCAAAAGTGCACCCCGGCCTAAGTACAGGCTTATATGAGTCTGTCTCTTATACACATCTAGATGTGTATAAGAGACAGCACACACACACACACACACACACACACATACATACGCACACAGATCTGAAAACGGGCTGGAGGCTGCATGGGCAGAGAAGAGAGTCAAGGTGGCAGCTGGTCAGGGTGGCCGAGGAAGAGCGGAGGGAAGAAGGGGAGGCACTGTAGTGGAATAGGGTTGCGGAGGAGATGAGGAGGAACAGTGGAGGGGGGGGGCTAGGTGGTTGGAGGAGTCGGGTGGCGTAGGCGCAGAGGAGGGCGAACGAAGACAAGGCAGGCGGGGGGAAGTGGTTTGGGGAGGGAGCCATGCCACTGACCTGAGGGTTCCATCTTGCAGCAGCATTCAGTCGATGACAACTACTCCATCGCACCTCAATCTTGGCCCACGACAGCTCACGGCGGCAGCTGGCCAACCTTAGGTGAGAGGGAGACAGGGATAGTGTGTGTGCATGTGTGTGTGCATGTGTGTGTGTGTTGTCATGTTTGCTATACAACTCCATTAAAATAACACGACTGTGGCAGACTGTTTCATCGGGCTTTCACAGACTCATCAGGAGGTTGAACCCCGACAGTCTGCCCAGAGTGAAAGAGAGAAGCAGCGAGCGAGAGAGAAAGTTGGGAGCTGCGCAACAAGGTCCACAACAGCAAGCAGGGCATACATAACACGACCCGAGGCAGTACCCAGCACGTACTACGGCAAACAACATGGACGCGTCAGCGCAAAGCTCAAGAAAATATGGCGCGATGCGGTTGGAACCGACAAAGGCAAAGTGAGGTACCCAAAGTTGCCTGCGAACTGGGCCGTCGGGCCGTTCGCCTTGAGTTGCTAGGCCGAGGGCCTGGATCTACGCGCACGACACTTGACTCCGGTAATACTCCACGGCACTCCGCGGCACGTCTATCTGCGAAAAGGACTCCGCGGCGTGTCTATCTGAGCCATTGGTACGGACCGACGGCCTGGATCTCGGCGCGGTCCTAAGATCTTAAGACCGCATCTATCCAGGCCGTCGGTCTGGTAGGACCTGACGGCCCAGATGGCAGATTTGTTACATGGTTAGGTTGATCTGGGTCGTGGGCCGGTAGGACCGACGACGACCTGGATTTCAGATTTGTCACGTTAGCGATTTTAATAGTGTAGGGATAATTGAGCACCAATTGGAACCTTCCCTCCCTTGCATCCGACGTCCTGATTGCATCAACAGAGCAGTGGTGTCTATGGTGTGCACAACGGCCCACCCCTGTGCCCAGGTGATGAAGAGCAAGCCAGCCTCCCCCGTACTATTTTCATCATTGCATACGGTGCGAGTCGGTTTCCTGGCCAGAATATCTTTAACGACAGTCCGGCACATGTCGATCCTCCATTAGGCTGACCCACCCAACACACCTCTATGCGCAGCAAGAGCAGCAAAGCATGCATGCTCTACTCCCTTGGGTTGGCATGGTGACTGTGACCCGTGCTTCGCCCAGGGCCCTTCAGAGGCACCGCCCTCTCCCACCAGATGTGACACCAAGAAGAATGTCGACTCTCAAGAGCGCTCACAACTCCTGAACCAGAAGATGACTCTCGAGCTGAACACTCTTCCTCACGGTGAGAAGAGATTGAGATGGGAAGATACGGTAAGGAACAACGTACTTGAAGATAGGTGCCCCCAACCACAGATTTCTCACCAAAGGAGCCAACGTGCATTTTGATGACTGGTCATAGCCTCGGCACCACACACAATGCAATGCAGTGCCACCTCAGCCAGAATGCCACGTCAACATGCCCTCACCATTCCATATACACCTGCTGTCACCACAGCCTTCCGGTCCCGCTCCTCCCTACCCGGGAGGGACCCAATCAACCAGCATCAGCGTACCCTTACTGCGGAGAAGCTTCGTCAGCGCAGCAAGTAACCAAGACACCAGCGCCAGTATGGTGATATCTGAACCAGCTCTGATACCAAATTGCAAGGAAAATGAGAGAGCGATAAACAGAAAACCAAATTGCAAGATCGCACTGAAGACCAGATAAGCAGAAAGCACAATGCACTGAGATACAAGCCAAATAAGAGCAATACAATGAACTCAAATGTCAATGTCAACACTCCCGCACCACACCAACATAGTATCCAATGTCGCTCTTCTTGCTCTGCGCTCAGCGCCCAGCCTATCCTACTCAGTCAACCCCTAAGCTAGCCTACAGCTACGACATGCAACAGGATCACTCCAAGCTGAAAACCAATGTACGTGACGACGTCGCTAATGCAGACTGCCACTGTACACCAGGTACGCGTCTCTCCTCTCCCCTCACTCATATCCTCCTCCCCCACATGTGCGCCCTCATCCCGAAGACCACCATCACCATACCAGTCTGCGAGCGGCCAGCCCAGCTATGGCTGCTGTGCAGCCGCTGCCTCTGCAGCATCCACCACCTCTGTGCGCCTGCGAGTGCCTCTGGCCCACCAGCACCCAGACAGCCTCCTGCTGTCAACTCAGCAGCGTGGCCACCTGCTAGTGCAAAGCCAGAATGTGCTCTGGCTGGGCGAGGCACTTTCCTATATGAAAAGTGCAGCCCTGTGTCTGGCTGCCTGGGCCTGGCGTGCGTGTGCCCTGTAGTTTCACGTTGGGCCAAAGTGTCTGCGCCCAGGCCCATTCAGACAGTTGCCTGGGCCCGCAGCAGTCAAGCTGACGTGGCTGTTGTCACTCGCTGCATTCTCATTGGGCTACGGGCCAACAGCCACGTTGCTGCCTTGCTTTCCATTCACCGAGAGCCTCTGGCCACGTCGCATGTGGACTGAGCCCAGAGGCGCAGCATGTTGTGCTCACACAGGCGAGGCCCTGTAACCAACGGGCGCGTGGAAACTGTCTGGCACCCCACAATGCAGAAATGACAAAAATAGGCCTCATGTCAATATGCAGATCCGCCTTCACTTAGGGCGGGCACGAGGCATGCAGGGGGGCCCTCGGGCCGTCAGGTGCCTCGGCCTAAAGGCCACTGTGAGGGCTCATTCCTTGCATTGTTAATAAAATTGTAAATATTTTATTTGTTTGTTTGTTTGTTTGTTTGTTTGTTTAATTTTGGACCATTTCTCCATTTATGCGTGTCATCCTTGCGCAGGGGCCATGCTAATCTTCTCTGTATGTTAAAATATATGTATATAAATATATATATTCTCTGTATCTTTCCAATTTCAACGGATGTCCCAAAGGACTGTGTTGTTGTTTATCATTTTTTTTATTTAAAATATTCAAATGTTTCTAATATTTTCTGAACTTTTCTCATACTTTTTAATATTTTTTTATATGCAACAACCTTTGTAATGCATATGCCCCTACCTGGGCCTTCCTCATGAACATCCCCGAACTTGTCCGAATTTGGCTCTTCACACTCTTTCCAGATTCATTGTCTGCAACCATGGACTTCTCCAGTTTGTCTCTTGCCTGCAGAACCAGTTATGCAACACAACGTCCGTAAAGCAGAAGTGGATAAGATTAGGATAATGTTAGGATAAGAAGAAAAAAAAAAAAAAAAAAAAAAAA